TTTGTTAGAATGACTTACAGAAGTCGTAAATGTGCTATATTTATGGGTACAGTTTTTTTAAGTTTAAAAGCATATAAATCAGGACCAGCCAAAAGGAGAGTCACATACAGCAAGGTCTGGGAGGGACCAGATGCAAAGTTTCTTTTTTTTTGAGACAGAGCCTCAAGCTATCCCCCTGGGTAGAGTGCTTTGGCATCACAGCTCACAGCAACCTCCAGCTCCTGGGCTCAAGCAAGTCTCCTGCCTCTGCCTCCCAAGCAGCTGGGACCACAGGCGCCCACCACAACGCCTGGCTATTTTTTGGTTGCAACCGTTATTGTTGTTTGGCGGACCCAGGCTGGATTCGAACCTGCCACCTTAGGTGTATGTGGCTGGCGCCTTAGCCACTTGAGCCACAGGCGCTGAGCCCAGATGCAAAGTTTCTAAGTCCTTTCCCTGTGGAGTCAGAACACATCAGCCTTCTGGCACATAGATTTGTAGTAATACACACAGAACAGTCGTAGCCAGAAGAGCTACCTGAGCATTAAGTATACAAAATTTTACTGAAGTTTCATTATATAGGCATGATTTTTTGTGTGTGTGTGGTTTTTGGCCAGGGCTGGGTTTGAACCCGCCACCTCTGGCATATGGGGCTGGTACCCTATTCCTTTGAGCTACAGGTGCCACCCTATATAGGCATGATTGAGTGAATCACTGGGCATTCTACTGAACTCAATCTCCAGCTTCTTTCCCCTGAGAGAGGGTCAGGCTGATATCACATGGCTCAGTGTCCAACTTTTTTTTTTTTTTAATTGAGACAGAGTTACTTTGTTGCCCTTCGTAGAGTGCTGTGGCATCATAGCTTATAGGAACCTCAAACTCTTGGGCTCAAGCAATCCTATTGATAGAATCCCATTACCGACCCACCCAGGTAGAACTAGCCCATCCAGGAAGGATGGAGTGCATTTCCCAGTCAGTGTCCACCTTCCTAAGAATCACAAGATAGGTTTCTGGCATTGCCAGCTCCCCAGGTCCCATTCTGAGTCATCTCATTAGCATAGACTAGAAGACCACCTTTAATCACCTTTTTTCTTTTTTCCTTTTTGAGACAGAGTCTCACTCTGTTGCCCTGGGTAAAAATGCCATGGCATCATAGCTCACAGCAACTCCAAACTCTTTGGCTCAAGCAATCCTGTTGATATAATCAGATTACTGACCCGCCCAGGTAAAACTAGCTGGTCCAGGAAGGATGGAGTGCGTGTCCCTGCGAGGAAATAGTGAATGGACCAATCCCTGCCATTCTGACCCTTTCCCACCCACCTGCCCAGGTAGAACTGACCCACCCAGGAAGGACTGAGTGTATTTCCCTTCCAGGAAATAGTAAATGGACCAATCCGTTCCTGTCTAACCCTTTAAAATTCCCATCCACCATAGCCCACTTGTAAATTTCTTCCAGGTCAGGAATTTCACCCTACCTGCACCCAGGTGGGATAAAAGCCACATTGATTGCATAGACCCGGAACTCCATTTTCCTTTCATCTTGTGCCTCAGAATACTCTTTCATCTTTGGGTCTGGAACCTCTCACCTGTTACCTCAGCCTCCTGAGTAGCTGGGACAACCGGAACCTGCCACAATGCCCAGCTAGTTTTGTTGTTTTTAGTAGAGATGGGGTCTTGCTCTTGCTCAGGCTGGCCTTGAACTCCTGAGCTCAAACAATCCACCTGCCTCCTCCCAGAGTGCTAGGATTACAGGCCTGAGCCACTTTTAATCACATTTTCTGTCTAAGCTAAAAACTATGGTCCAGGGCCCATTGTGGATAATAACACCCCCGTCACTTGGAAAATAGCAAGGATTTGAAGACTCCTTCCCAGAAACTGGAAAAATGTGGCCAACAATCAAATTTTCTTTATTTCTTTCTTTTATTATCATTTCTTTTTAGAGGCACAGTCTCGTTTTGTCGCCCTCAGTAGAGTGCTGTCGTGTCACAGCTCACAGCAACCTCCAGCTCTTGGGCTTAGGCAATCCTCTTGCCTAAGCTTCCCGAGTAGCTAAGACTACAGGCGCCCACCACAATGCTGGGCTATTTTTTTGTTGCAGTTTGGCTGGGGCTGGGTTTGAACCTGCCACCTCCAGCATATGGGGCCGGTGCTCTATTCCTCTGAGCCACAGGCGCCACCCCACCCCCAGCTATTTTTTTTTAGAGTTGGGGTTTCAGTCTGGTTCAGGCTGGTCTTGAACCTGTGAGCTCAGGCAATCCCCCCACCTAGGCCTCCCAGAGTGCTAGGATTCAAATTTCCTATGACGTAACACTATCTAATGTTTTTACCTTCATAACTATCTGATATTAATTTTATTTTGGTTAGTATTTGCCTGAGGTATGTCCGCGTGTGTACAGAACTGTTCCTGTGTTTGATGGTTTTCTTTGCTTGTCATTGTCTTCCATCCTTAACTTCCCATTAGCATTCTTTTTCCTCTTCCTGAAGTTCATCATTAGGAAGTTTCTTTACAGAGTGTGTTGTAGTGAACCACTACCCAGAGTTCGTCAAATTGTGAAGCCTGAGGGTACAGTCCTCCCTACCACCAAGTCTCCCTGAGACTCACAACCCCCAACTACAGGGAGTTAGGGTTTAAATAGAAAATTAGAAGAGTCCACACAAGAGCACTCTCATTTCTGACACAGTTGGCGTCAACTTTGTGGGGGGCGGGGGATGTCCCAAAACCATGCTATGTTTTTTGTTTGTTTTGGTTGGGGGGGGGATTGAGACAGAGTTTCACTATGCCGCCCTTTACAGTAGAGTGCTGTGGCATCACAGTTCACAGCAACCTCAAACTCTTGGGCTTAAGCTATTCTCTTGCCTCAGCCTCCCAAGTAGCTGCGACTATAGGACCCCTCCACAACGCACGGCTGTTTTGTTGTTGTAGTTGTCATTGTTGTTTGGTTGGCCCAGGCCAGGTTCAAACCAGCCAGCTCTGGTATATGTGGCTAGAATTCTAGCCACTGAGCTACAGGTGCCAAACCCACACTAAGATTTGGTAAGGACTAAAATAACTCACAGAACTCACTGGGCACTATTATACCATGGTTTCTGTTTCTACAGAGAAAGGGCACAGATTGGCACCAGCCAAAGAAGAAAGAGACTCAGGGTAGAGTCTGGGAGGCCTCCAGGGCAAGAAGCTTGCTTTGTCTTCCGCATGTGTTACTCTCGCAGCACAATGTGTGACACAGGATACATGTAGTAATACCAGTCAGGAAAGCTCACCCAAGCTTCAGTGTCCAGAATTTGTATTGGGGTTTTGTTATGTAGGCATTATTGATTAACTGATTGCCCATATGGCTGACCTCAGCCTCCAGGTCAACTGATAACCATATAACCCAAAGTCCCCAATCCTATACCACTTATCGGCCTTTCTGATATAAACAGATGTCCTCTGCCCCAACACTGTTGGGTGTGGTTGGCTCCACTTTAAGATCTGGTTTGGCTAGAGCCTTTCTCCTAGCCTAAACAAACACACTCCTGTCAGATATGACCTAGATTACCTCCCAGATGCTGAAGACAAAGGCCAGACCCCCCTTAATGCAAGGTCAAATGTTTTACTATGTGACTATTAAAATTATGTTTGTCAGAAAAATGCCTTTATTTCCCTATGATCCTTGAAAGATGGTTTTACTGAATTTGTAATTATAAACTGACAGTAATTTTCTCTCAAACTTTGAAAAGATTTTTCCTCTATCTAATGGTTTCCATTGTTAATATTGAGAACTCACCAATAAGCCCAATTGTTTCTTCTTTTTCTAACAGACTTTATCTTTTATTGTATTTATTTATTTATTTGAGACAGAGTCTCATTTTGTCTCCCTTGGTAGAGTGCTGTGGCATCAGAGCTCACAGCAACCTCAAATTCTTGGGCTTAAGTGATTCTCTTGCCTCAGCCTCCCAAGTGGCTGGGACTATAGGAGCCCACCATAACGCCTGGCTATTTTTAGAAATGGAGTCTCTTGCTCTTGCTCAGGCTGGTCTTGAACCCATGAGCCTAGGCAGTCTACCTGCCTCAGCCTCCCAGAATGCTAGGATTACAGGCATGAGCCACCATGCCCAGAAACTTTATTTTTTAGAATAGTCTTAGGTTCACAGCAAAATTGAGCAGAAGGCACAGAGATTTCCCTTACACTCCCTACCCCCACACATGGATTAGCCTACCCCATTATCAACATCCCACCCCAGGCTAGGTTTAGTGGCTTACACCTATAATCCCACCACTTTGGGAGGCCAAGGAGGGAGGATCCCTTGAGCTCAGGATTGTTAGAAAAGCCTGAGCAAGAGTGAGACCCTGTCTCTAATAAAAATAGAAAAATTAGCTGGGCATTGTAGTGGGTTCCTATAGTCCCAGTCACAGGAGAGACTAAGGCAAAAGGATCACTCCAACCTAGGAGTTTGAGGTTGCTGTGAACTAGGCTAACACCAGGACACTAGCCTGGGCAGAGTTTTTTTTGAGACTCTCAAAAAAAAAAAA